TCGTATTCATTTCCCCAATTTATATAAAGGTTAAGTGAATTACAGTAGCAAATTCAGGTGAGAAAAACAGATTTAGAAATAAACAGAACTGTCTCTTAGTAAACTGCCTCAGCAAGTGAGGAAAGACTCAGGCACACTGGAGAATACGCTCAGTTTACAGCCTGAGGAGGCCCAGGCTCCGTGGACAGACTGAGAGGTCTGGGCTTTATGGATGGACTGAGGAGCCTATTAGACAGACATCTTGCCCTAATTTTCAAACACTTCAGCAATCTGTATCCCGCTTCCCTAGGCAGGCTTATTTTCTACTTATATTCATCATGAAAGCACCCTTCAATTACATATGCTTCCTTCCTACTTTTGCTTTTACCAACTTTGTCCTATCTACCTGAAAAATGCTTTTTCTTTCTACCTGTGAAAATTTTACCATACTCCAGGCCCAGCAAAAAAAGTTCTCATAACTAGCTAGGCCTCATGCTGCATCCCTGTAGTCCCAGCACTTGGGAGGCTGAGGCCCACTCTCACTTGAGCCCAAGAGTTCAAGACCAGCCTGGGAACACAGAGGGGCCCCCTCCCTTGGAGAAGAACAAAGTTAAAGGGATTCCTCATAAACAGCCTATTTCATGTCCTGCCTGTGAGCTTGGTGAACTCAATATCTATAGGGAGCCACTGAGCCCTTCCTAACTGTAATCCCTTTGCCTGCTTCATTATTCCTTTGCCCACTTTAGTTTTCCCTTCCTGCTGGATTATTCCTTTTAGCACACAAATAAGTTTTATTATCTGCTAACTTCACTTTTGAATACTAAAAGCCCTATATTCTTCAAGTTCCACACTTTTCTTCCCTCTCCCTTCAAAGAAACAGTGGCCTTTTCTTCTGGTTCTACTTCTCATTCCCCTGCACAGCCCTTTAATCTCTAGCTCACTACAGGACAGGCTGCTCCCTCACCGAGCTTCTAGTCAGGATCAGTAATGACTTTCAACGTCCAACCCAGGGATTCCATGTCCCTAACTCCACCTCTCCTCTCAGTGCCACTCCATGGACAGCTGAGGGTTTTCTCTTTCTAGAAACTTCCTCTCTGGCCTTCTAAGATGTTACTTTGCTTATTTTTCCCCCACCCACTGGCCAGAAATCTGTTTCTTCCTCTAGCCCCCTCCCTCCCATGTCAGTATCTTAATGTCAAGCTTTTCCAAGGATCCCTTCCACTTCTGTCTCTTAAGTTAGAGGTTTGCAAAAGGAATGGACCCTACTCCTAGGGAGAAACATCTAGCTGGGTTTTTTGGGGGAAGTAGTAGCAACATTTAGTCAGGAAGGGCCAGATACTAGGTGTCCTGCAATACAAGAGTCCCAAGAATTAAAATTTGTCCCATGTCATGACTTTCAAACATTTCACCATATAGTCATCACAAGTGAAAAAGCTAAACCCGGGTGTGGAAGTACACACCCCTCATCCTAGCACTCAGGAAGACGAGCCAGGAGGATTATGAGTTCCTATAGCCTAGGCTACAACATGAGACCCTATCTCAAAAAAAAAAAAACAACTTACTAGAACCTAACTCACTTTTATAGATCCAAGTGAGTGTCAGATGTCAAGAACTACAGCTATTGTGTACACCAAAAAGCAACTCTGCTTTTTACCATGAGCTGACTATTTTGGAAAATCAGGTAGCCAATGCCAAAACTATACAGCTGACTACTTTGTATGAAGGGCCGTGACAGTGATGTGGCTTTACACAGTGGTGAGACACTCTCTACCCATGTCCCAGCTTTATGTCCTCCACAAGGGACACTGCTTGCCAGCTGGCACACTATATCTTTCACTTAGCTTTTTAATGAACTACCTCCTCTCACTAAAAGGTAAATTCCATGACTAAAGAAATGTGTGCTTTATCATGGTTGTACCCCACTGCCTACTACAGGCTGAAGCTACCAGGGCTCACTAATATCCCTGACTCAGTTTGACAGCTTGCCATTTTTACTGTGGTTATTAATAAGTACTTCCATACAGAAATGAAAAAAAAATCTTCATTTCTCCATCATATTATCCTTAGATCATTGTATTGATTTATTTTTACAGTGACTATCATGTCAAGAGAGTAAAGAGTAGACTTCAGAGTATCTGTTACATGAAAGGCATACTAGTAGTAAGAGTGAGGCCCTGAGTTCAATCCCCAGCACCATCAAAAAATAAAGGATACTCTGAGTCTAAGAGTTGAGAAACACTGTCCTGTATGAACCCACTTTTAACTCTGACCTCTTTCTTGAACACCACGACCACAAATCCAATTGTCTCCATGGTCCTAAAGACATCTCAGGCCAAACAGGCCCAATGGCAACTGATCCTCCCCAGTCGATCCTCAGACATCCCTACGGGGTTTCATAAAAATCACCCTGCTGACTCCAGAAGTCTCCCTTTCCTGGGAGACTTTCTACCAATTCCTCTAGTGCTCTTTTAAAATAGATTAGGAATTAACCCACTTCTCTCCATTACCAAAACCAGCACACTGTGTGCACTAGATGCCTACTTCCATTCTCCCCTCTTACATGGATTCTACACACAGCAACAGAAGCGCTCATTTGACAACTGTTTGCCACTGACTTTAGAATAAAATTCCAGCTCTTAATCATGGCCTGTAAAGAAAGCCTTCCACAACTGGCTACTCAACTAATTCTCCTCACACACTCTCTCCCTCTTCTCTGCATGACAGCCACACTGTTCCTGCCCTTCCTAAACACACACGGGTCTTCTCAGCATCTTCCCTCTGCTGAGCCTCCCAGCCCCCACTTCCCTCCTGCCCTTCGCCTTCTCTCATACACACTAAAACCCTCCCTGAGCTGCTGTTGGCTCCTCACCTAAAAAGTCTTTGCTATTGTCACTGAACCTAAAGTGGATGTCCCCTACTATTCTCTTTCTATTGTTTTCTTTACCCTTTAAATGTCAGTGTCTGTCACCAAAATATAGGCTCCTTAAAAGCAGGAACCAAGTCTTTCCTGTTCACCATATACACATCATTTATACACTGGCTACACCAGTACTAGTACAAGGCCTGGCAATAACAGGCACTCAGTAATTAGTTGTTGAAACAAGGGCCAGGCTTGGGGGCACATGCTTGTAATATTGGCTACTCAGGAGGCTAAGTTAGGAGGATCGTGAGTTTGAGGTCAGCCTGGACAACTTAGTAAAATGTCAATCTCAAATAGAAAAAAAAAAAATCTGAAAAAGAAAAAAAGGAATTAATGAGTCACTCTTGAACCCACCCCAGCCTTCACCTCACCAACAAAATCCACTTAGCTATCAAGGCCTAATTATTTTAACCTAAGAAATCTTCCTCAAATCTTTCTGATCTACTCCCACTGCCACACGAAGTCTAGATGATTTTACCACCTTCTTAACTGACCTCTCCACCTCACCCCTCATCTGTGCAGTATGTCAAGAACACACCCACTCCAGTCCCCCTGTAAAGAAACAACCTAATACAAATATGCTCTTATTTTATTTCTGCTCAGAAACCTCCCCGGGCTAAACCCTGCTTAAAAGAAAAAATAACAATAATAATCAGGTGGTTTGGTTTCTTTTTGTTGTTTTTGGCAGGACTTGGGTTTGAACTCAAGGGTTTGTGCTTGCAAAGTGCTCTACTGTTTGAGCCACACCTCCAGTCCATAATAATAATAATAATATTAACCTCTGGTTATTTTATTGGAGATGGGGGTCTCTCAGGAACTATTTACTCAGGCTGGCCTCAACCGTTATCCTCCTGCTCTCAGCTCCCAAGTAGCTAAGATGACAGGTGTGAGCCAGGGGCGCCCTGCAGAAAATAAGGTTTTCCCTTAAGGCCCAACTCAACTGTCACCTTCTTAGACGTCTTTCTAAACCTTTAGAGACAAGAGTTAAGCTTTCTCATTCCAATTTAATGTTCATCACCTGCCTGGAGGGGCAGTCCTAGCACAGTGGTTGGGGGAAACAGACTGCCAGGCTGTGGACATCTACAACTAAGAGACCTCGGGTACATTATTACCACCGGTAGAACTCCCTGGTATCGCCTGTAATGTGGGGTTCTACAATACTTTCATAGCAGGCTGAATGTGAGGCGTAAGAATTAAAAAGTACCTAGCACGGATATGGCAATAACTAAATTAGCTATTGGTTATTAAAATAAGCAGTGCGGGTAATTCTCTGAGCTACCTAAAAGTGAATACTATGCTTGGGTTTTCTGTGGCTCACTATTACCTAACTTGTGGCCCATGAGCAGGAGGAATTTCTTTCAATGAAAACGATGCTGGGATTGAGAAATACCATAACAATGAGGTGAGCTGCATTTATTCGGTTAGAGAAACTAATATTATTGATACCGAGATGAATGAAATCAGGCTACAGAGCACCGGGTATCCCTCAACCCAAAGCATTAACCTCCCAAACGATTATTAAAGGATGCGCTGGGCTCATCAGGTCCACTTTTATGACAATTTTTCCTTGGCTTCTTTCAGACTCTGAGTTATTACCTTCTGGAGCCCGTAGGCCTGTGCTAATTTGCATGACTCTTCAACTAATCATTAAGATTTAAAAGCAATTTTGCAATTTAAATCCGTGGCACTTAATTGACTTCCTAGCTGCAGGCACTAAATTACAGGGAAGCAGCTCAGCAGACCAGCGGTCTGCACTATGCAGGAGCAGCAGCAGCAGCAGCAGAGACGAAGAGCATTTGCAGGGAGCACTCATGACTCAGGAGCGGGTGACGCCCGGGCCTCGGGGCTGCGACGCCCCTCAAGCTCTGCGCGCGTCGTGGGACGCGCGTGCGCGTGAGGCGCGCGCGGCCCTGCCTGGGATGCGCGACCGGCAGGTGGCTGGCGCCTGCTGGCACCGCGTCCCCAGCGTGCGGAGCCGTCCGCGCCCCGCTACCTTGAGACTCGGTCGGGGTCGCCCCGCGGTGCAGGGGACCGGGAACCCGGGCGCGAGGCGGAGACCTCTTCACGGCGCTTCGAGGGAAGGGCAGGCCCTTGCACCCACCTCCACGAAGGCATCCGTCAGGTCACTGGCGCGGTCCATCACAGGCAAATGGCGCCCGGCCACGATTTTCACCTTCAGCTTCCCCGGCATCGTGTAGGTTTTGACTCCTGCAGGTACACCAGAGAGTCTTCGCCGCCGCGCTCCGGGCGCTAGGCGGGAGCGCGCGGGGAGCGGCGCGCGCCGGACGCGGGCGCGCGGGCAACTGACGGCGCGGAGGCGCGCGCGCGCGGGCGGGCACACTCATGCTCCGAGCGCGGGGGGGTGGGGGGGGGCTGTCCCGCGCGAATACCGGTACCTCATTTTGGAGAGTCAGCCAGAGGAAGAGTTTTGGCGAATTCGTCTTGCCTAACCAAAGAGGGCTGGAAAGAGAAGGAAAGCCGAGTCCCCATCTCATGCAGCCTTGGCTGCCCCATGTGTGTTTCTCCACCCACCCCTCCAACATGGCGGCTCCCGGACCGGGAGGTAGCATCGACGATTCGGCTCTCGAAAGGGGCGGGGCTGCCGTCCACGAGCTGAAGTTCAGGGAGCTGCGTCGAGTCCGGCATCATCCACCCCTCGCCCCTGTATGTTGGGCTGCGCTGCTCAGCGGAGGAAACGCTTCGAGCTCCAGCAGGGAGGCGACACCCCGCCCGGCCTTCCGAGCTGCGAGCGCTCCTGTTTGTAACCCAGACTGCTGGAGGTGTCTGCTTCCTGCGCCCCTTAGTGGTTCGCAAAGCTAATCTAGATGACTTCTACCAGGAAGGGGTACAGAGCATGTAGTTTTCTATGAAATAGACTGAGACACAACAGGGACATCTCGGATAGTGAGTAAGTGGCATTTCCTAAAAGATTTGGTTCAGCCCTGTGCACTTGTGCAGTGCACCGACTGGACCACGTTTACTGGGGCGGGGAGCGGGAGGAGGGATACGTTCAAACCCGAAGTCCCTGCTTGCAACGAGCACTCCCTCTTGCGTGGGGGTTATTAAGCATTTACAGTCCCAGCGAGAAGATCCGCAGGGCTGGCAGAAGCTGGGGACCTCCTACCTCGGGAAAGTAGATTCAACCAGGAGGAATGAACCTGCTAAAGTCAAGCTTTAGACAGATTGCCTATAGCGTCAGACAATCAGGAAAAGATTTAGGGAAATTGAGGCACACTCTCACAGGACATAACAAAAGCCACCCCATATCAAATATCAGAACCAGCCTTAATATATTGCATAACAAATATCAAAATCAGTGTTTCAAACGCCAGTGGAGAGATTATATCCCTGGATTCATCAGGAATGGAAAATTCCTAAATGAAGACAAGCAGCATGATCTTTTGAGTTTCAAAAATATTCAACAGGGGGTAATAATTACTCCAACCCAGAAATATCTTTTTAAAGCAAAAATTCCTCCTACAGAAAAGGTCCTGTTTCTGTGAGAAGTTGAACTCTTCCAAAGAGAAAAAGAAAGGACTTGCTCAAAAAAACATCTGAATGGCAAATGGCTGACTTTTTGGACCAGAGAACTCTATCCATTCAAACTATGAGGAAAAGATAAAGACCACAGTTCCCATGCAATTTTCCTTACGCCCACCTGCAGATTGTTTCTGGAGTGTAACTGCCATCAAAGTACCTGTGCAGAATTCTAAAAGTCAGCTACACCACGTGATCAGTGGGTGTTGCTGTTGTTTTGGTGCTAGGATTGAAATAACTTTTTTAATGAAATCAAAGTATTACCATATTAGCAGAGGTTTTTTTATTTTATTTATTTATCTATTTATTTTTGGAAACAAAGTCTTACCATGTAGTCCACTCTGACTTTGAACTTCAGATCCTTCTGCCTCAGCCTCCTGAGTGCTGGAGTTACAAGCATGAACCACCAGGCCCGGCTTACCAGTTTATTTTTTAAAATACAGAAACAGGCTGGGATATAGCTCAGTGGTACTACTGTCAACCAGTAGCTGGGGTCCTTTTGCTTTACCCAGATAGAAATTGTGAGTAGACAAGCCCTTTTTCCAGCACTTCCATGTCTGATCCTTAAGTGCTTTGGGGGCTGTACTGACAGGCCCAGAGGCTGACTGCTCCAGGCCCTGAGAGCTAGAAAACTATTGCTGCAGGCTTTAGAAGCCAGAGAGTTAAGGCTCCAAGCACTCAGTAGAAGCTTGTTGCTCTGGGATTTAACCTACCAGAGGCCCTGGCACTTGGCAGCTATTGTAATCGTTGGCTTTTAGCAGGAATGGGTGGCCACAACAGTTAGCACTTGCTAGTATCACACCTCCTGAGTGGGTCTCAGGTGTCAGGACCCTCAGCCCTTAAGACTTGGCAGCAACCTGGAACTTTTTAGCAACCAGTGCCCATAGTTTGTCTTCAGCTCTGCATAGCTTCCATAGTCTCCCCTCCTTCTGGAGCTGTTCAGCCAACCTCCCATCAGTACTGTTGCTGCTGCTGCTGCCACTGTAACCCTCACTGCCTCTACAGCTCCTCTGCTGCTTCTGCCATCGCTTCCTGTTACCAGCTCAACCTGGTGTACTAATGATAGAGATCAAAAGTAAGCAAGAAAAGATCACTCCAACTCCAAAGGCCTTTTATTTGGGCCTAATGTTTTAACACCAGGGGGCAGCGCAGCACTGGAGTGTAGCTCCTGGCTTACTGGCAAATGAGCCAGTCTGCTTATATAGCCAAAAAAGGGGCATGGCAAAGATGTTTGCACCAATCATAGCATAGTCCTTCATGCAAATAAAGAACAGTTTTGCACCAATCACAGGCCTTCTACAGGGCCACCAGAGGACAGGGAGTGCTCCCTTCTACGCTGGGTAAAAATGGCTGCTGGAGCTCACCAAGGCTTGTGATGCCAAATGGTCTGGCAGAAGCTGTTGTGGCTGGGAGGCCAAGGTGTGCTTCAACAGCAAGCAGCTGTGGTTTCAGTGTAGCTTCATCCAGGCGTCCATGGAGAGTTCAAAGCAGCCAGGCTGGATTGAGGGCCATTCAATTGGCTGCTTGGCTGATGGTCCTCCATTCATGCAGCTGGGGCGGGAGGGAAGGGTCTAATAGCTGTCAATTACAGTCAAATTGCCCTACCCCCAAAGTCTTAGCAAATTTAAAGGAAAAATAAACATTAAAAGGGGTGCTTACAACAAAGGCCTATCATTAACAGTGTTTAACAGTTCCCTAGGGGAGCGGTGGGGTCCTGTGATCTGTCTCAGAAGAGCATGTGCCTAGTATGCACAGGGCCCTGGGTTCCATCCCCAACACTGCAAAAGAAAAAAAAGAAAGATCAGAAATACATACATATAGAAAAAAAATTCTAGAAAACCCAAATTTAGCAATAATCTTTAATGGAAAATAATTCATCCTATTACAAGATTTTGTAATGTAAAAAACTATTTGCAAATTGCACAATTAGAGGTTAGTAACCCCTGCCTCCTAATTAGTAGACTATCAGGTACTTGTGCATACCTGCTGCCCTAGGCCTCATCAACCGGAGATTATAATTAAGATGCTTCCTGAAGACTTTTTTTTAAGTGGAATTAAGCCTGGCTTCAGTTTAACTGTTTCCTAATAATTACACTAGTTTACTTTAATTAATGCTGGGAACAGTGCTGATTTTCCTGACAAATCTATCATGATCTCACTCCTGGTTACCTTCTTTCGCTTCACATCTTGTCCTTTTTGCATTTTAGATCTTAAAGTAATGAAAGTAAATATGTATTGAGTGTTCACTGTGTGCCAGATTTTGCATTCCAGGCTTCAATAAAATCCTGACAATTATCCGCTGCCTCCTTCTCCACTGCCCGCTCCTTGTCTTTCTTCCTTTTTTCTTTTTTTTTTTTTTCAGTGCTAGGGATCAAGGCTTCATTTTATAGATGAGTAAATTGTAGCTTTGCAAAGCTATACTAATTACCCATGACCACAGATCTGCTAATAAAGGAGGCAATATTTATATCCAGGCAATGATTCCAAGAACCCATGCTCTCTCAGGGCTATGTGGAGTTACCAACAAATTCAGCTTTCCCTCTGCCTGGAGTAACTTTCTCATAGTCATTTCTACGACTTCTCAGACTTTCTGATAAACACTTTCTACCTCACCTGTGCTACTACTGAATCGATTGTGGCACTTTCTACACAGCAGTTATCTGTCTTCCTCTCCACCCTCCCCCCCCCCAGTAAACTTCAAGCATCTTGAAGGCAAGGAACAGTTCTTACTCATCTCAACTCTCACTTCTTTGCCCTGCATCCTTCATGTAATCTGCAAATGCGGGTGGAATTAAATTAACAACACACGTACTAGTAATATTTTTGTTCCCTTTTCTGTCTTCCTAAAATGTTGCTTTTAATCTCTCTCTATCCCTTCAAGGTTGAACTTCTCAAAAATTGTCTTTACTTGGCACCCTTCCATCACCTCTCAGACACACCTAAACTATTTGTATTCAGGGTTAACCACCCACACTTGACCAAAACAGCTCTAATGCCATCAATAACCTCTAGTTGCTAAATCCAAAGGACACTTTTCAGTTTTCATTTTACATAACTCTCAGTAGTATTTCACCCTGTTAACCACGCTCTCCTTAAAATAACTCTTTCTGTTGGTGTTCAGATGCTCTCCTCTTACTTATTCTGGTATACACATCTGTCTTTTCAACCTACTCACTATCCTTACCTGTTGAACATGTTTTTCTCTGGTTCGGTTCCTGGCCTATTCTCTTCTAAATAGACTCTCTAGGTGAGCTCATCCACGCACATAATTATGACTTCCGTCCACTTAGCTAAGGACTCTCAAATTTTTATCTTTAGCGTAAAGGTCTCTTGAGGCATCTTGATCCTTTAGACACTCTAAAGTGACCTCAAAGTCAAGAAGTTTAGAAGGAACCTACCCTTCCCCTCAACTACAACAGGCTTGGTCTTGCTCTGTATTCTCCACCTCAAACACTAGCAAAGTCATCTGGCTAGTTAGTTGTTCCAGCCAGTAGTTTAATGGTGGGAACAAACAGCAACTTCAACTCCGTTCAGTTTTTTTTTTTTTTTTTGGCAGGGGTGCTGGGAATCAAACACAGGGCATTGTGCATACAGGCAAGCACTGTACCACTGGGCCACATTCCCCATGTCAGTTACTTTTGCTTTGATTTACTCTTAAAGCAGCATATCAACCTAAAATGAGGTAAGTAGACAGATAGCTGTGTCCTGAAGGCATGCCTAATGTACAATGGGCATAAGAAACACATAGAAAAATATACTCCAGATTGGAGGATTATTAAAGATGATTAATGTCATTATTGCTAGCCAGGCACTGGTGGCTCACATCTGT